TACTTCTTGCCGTTCCTAGTGCTTCTGTTGTTTTTATTATTTCATATTTTTGCTACACCCAAGAGATCTTGAGCTGTTGAGTTTTTGTGCAACAACTAGAAGAGTTAACTTTATATGGTTGTTGTTGTTGTTGTTGCTGTATTTTTTATTATTCTTCCCTTTGTTAGCTTCCTGAAAGTTTTGCAGATTTTTTTTTATGATTTTTCGTTATGAATATTTTTTTTCATAGTAAGAAAAGTTATGGAAAAAAAAAACTCGAAATAAGATTTAAGGATTTGCAATATCAGCAAAGAATTGGTATGAAACAACAACGGAAACAACACTGAGAAAATACATCCAAACGATGCTGATGATGATGATGAATAGCTCTGTAAGTTCAGGCATAATTAATAATGAATATGAAGAAATTCAAAATATGAAAACAGTAAATAACGAAGACGTCAAAATCGTTGTTAATAAATTATGAATGAAGTTTTGTGAAAAATATTGGAAAAATTTTCACAGAAGCTTATGTTTTAAGAGTTAAGAAGATTGTAGCCAAACGAGGGGGAAGGATGTTCGGGGGAATTCCAATGTTATTAATCTTCATAGACAAATTGATGGCGGAGAAATTTTTAGCAAGTGTTAAATGATTAATGGAAATAAGGTAACTATTTAAGTCTGCAATTCAAATTACCAACATTAGAAAATATTTTTTTATTGGTTTTTAGATTTTATTACAACATTTAATGAATAGTTACATATATTAAGTACGAAATCTGGGATCTGAACACCACTTATGGATATTAGAGTTAAAGGAAAACTCCAAAAAACATGTCGCAGCAAATATTTACTAAGATTCATACGAGACATAAAAATATATTTGGAAATAGTTCAACACACAACCCGACATCCAACATTGCAATTAATTTAGGTGGATGTAATGGTGCACATTTATTGAAAGAACTTTAGCTGCTGGTCAAAGGAAAATCCAAGCTCAAAGTCAGTCAGAATCGAATGCCAAAATTAAAAAAAGCTCTGTATATCCTTTATGAAATATTTTTTAAAATATTTGTACAACAAGCGCTTTTTGTTAAATTCCATTTTAGAAGCTCTCAATATGTTTTTAAATATATATTATTTAAAATTTTGAACAACATTTTTATATATATCAACTGTAGAAAAAATATTTTTTAGAAAATTTACGTTAAAATCCATAAAAGTTCTAAGAAAAATGTTTTTCAAAATCCTCTTTAAAATCATGAACTATCTGAAGAAAAAAAAGGGAGAGAGAACTCAAAATGCATATTAAAGCTAACTTGGTTTTAAAATTGAGACCAAAATCTGGAAAAATACCGAAAATAAGGCAGTACTGAGAGAAGGAGAGCTGGTAGACTAAGGATGAAAGCCAACCCCAGAGAACATGAAAAATTACAACCAATTTGGTTGGGAACAGAGGGGTGCATAACCCAAAGTTTCCGAATATGTTTCCAAGCATTCTAGGTAAAATGCCTCTGTAGTAGGTGTTCAAAAGTCTATCTCCAATTACGGACACAAATAGAATGCCTAATTCAATATTCCCTCTACTATACGATGGAGGTTATGAAAATCCACTCTTGAAAGTTCCTCAAGATCATTCTTAAAAGATCTGCGAGAATCTCACAAAAATTTTCTTAATATCCAAGCAAGTGTAAAATAGAGCTCTGAACTCCTAAAAAAATAATTTTAGGAAAAGAAAAAAAAAAAAACAAAGAAAATCCTGAAGAATTAAAAAAAAATCGTCGATAATCCCTTTAAGAATCCTTTATAAAATATATTTAAAAAATCCGGTTTAGTAGATCAGAAAATCGTGCTAAAATACTTTTCAAAAATCCTCTTGAAAAAGCCTATAGTCCTTCAGAAACAGACTTAGAAATTAATGCTAGTCTAAGTGTCCTTTAATATTTTTTAAAGATCCCACTATCTTCGATAGTTCTCGAAAATATATTTTCATCAAAGTCTTCCTTGACAGCATTGATGCCCCCTGAACATATATTCTACAGAAATAAATGTTTATAAGTCAGAAGTCACCAAAAATCCACGTTGAAAAAATATTATTAAAAAAACCAAGTCCATTAGCCTGATGGTTTCTGAAATAAAAGTCTTCAAAAATATTGGCAAAATATTTTTTAAAAATAGACCTCTTGAAAACTTACTTTTAAATGAACCATGTTTATTAGCCGGATGACACTTACAAAAATATTCTCCATTAGTCTAATAGTGCTTGAAAAACTCCTCTTCAAAAATCATGGTCCATTAGCCGGATAGTAATTGAAAAATTACTCTTCAAAAATCCACGTCTATTATCCGAATTATCCTTGAAAAATATTCTTTAAAAATCCAGGTTTTTCGATCTTTAAAAAAAATTAAGTAAAAATCCACTTCGATGCCTTGAGAGATTTTCGAAGAAACCATGTTGGTAGCCTTGAAATTATATTTAATAAAAATATTAACACTATGGTATCCCGAACAAACAAGCCAACACTGTTCTAATTTTCAAAATCAATGTCGACAGGCTTAAAAATATTTTCTTAAAAGTCCATGTTAACATTTGAGGCCCTAAACAAATTATTTCCAAAAACTCAGTACATGAACATTTTTAAACGTTTTTCTTTAAGAAGTATTAGAGGTGCTTGAAAATTATATATGTCAAATCCACAATGGCAGGTTCATAGGTCCTTAGAAACAATTCTGAAAAATCAATACTGGCAGCCTTCAAGAGTACACAGAGGGCTTTGAAATAATATTTCTTAGAATTTCACAATGTCTACCTCAAAAGTCCTTGAAATCATTGAAAAAAAAAGTTGAAATAGATGCGAGCTTTGTTTACAAAAAAAAAAAAAAAAAAAAAAAAACAAGGACAGATGTACGGACATGTATAAATCGACACAGAATGTGATTATAAGCAGATCATGAAAAAGAATTATGGGTCTATCATGATTCCTTCTCTACGTTACAAAAAGAATTAAAAAAAAAAAATTAAATAAAAAAACAAAAACATGTGTAAGGTATACCCAAATCAGATCCGATCTCGATAAAATTTGACAGAGGCATTTTTGAGATCCATAAGTAATGTGGTACCAAATATCATTATTGTGTAGTGCATATTACGCAAGTAACCTCAAATCGGATGAAACAAATATATGGGAGCTATAGTAATATCTGAACCGATTTTCTCCAAATTTGAAGTACTTGTTTCCAGACCGAATTTGGTCAGATGTGCTGAAACACATCCTATTTGGACAAATACTAGACATTTTGCGCACAAAAAGCTGAAAGTGGACAAATATATATTAATGTGAGCTATATCTAAATTTTGACCGATTATCACCAATTTCAATAAGCTTCATCCCTGGGCCAACCAACTAACTTCTGGAAAGTTTCGGACGGACAGCCGTGCGGACGGACATGTATAAATCGACACCGAATGTCATTCTATACAGATCATCAAAAGGAAGTATGGGTATATCTCGCTTCCTTTTCCATGTTACAAACAAATGCACAAAGGCACAATACCCTGACCACAGTGTATTATGTCTACTCTGGACCTTACTTTAATTCTCCAACTTTTATATGCAGTCTTTTTAAATAACGCCCCTTTTGTATTAACATCCCCTTTTTTGAAAACACTTGCATTTAGCGTAGGATATAAATATATTTATCATAGCGTCATCTAACATTCTAGGCTTCTTCTCGTCCTAATGGTTAAAAATAGCTGAATTTCTATTGCGATCATATAGCAAATTTTATATTTTTGAAGGATGAATTTCTACTCTGGACCTTACTTTTTAAAGTCTTTTTAAATAACGCCCCCTTTTTATTTTTTTCAAACACTTGCATGTTCCCCTGATCTCTATAATCTTCGGCTAAATCAAATTTATGAAATTCATTTTACATAGTAGAGCATAAATTGAATACCCAGCATGATTTCTCAAAATCGTATTCCTCTTACCAATCATTTAATTTTTGTTGAAATTCCATTGTTACTTTTTTTATTTAAATATATTTTTGTGCGTTCTCAAATCAATTTCCTTCCGAATTCAATTTAGTGGAAAAGGATTATGGCTTGTTTTTTTTTTTTTTTTTTTTTTTTTTTTTTTTTTTCTTTTCACAAAACTACAAATCTTCTTCGACCAACAAACAACATTCTCACACAAATAGATAGAGAGTGTGGAAATTTGTGCTATCAATCGAATCGAAAGGAATAAAAATTAGAATTCTTTTCAAGTGATACTTACCAATTAAGAGAAGTTTCCAAATATGCATTTGAATGTTAAATGCTGTTGAGTCCATTCAAAGTGAAAATCAAATTTCATGGATTAATAGTTTTTGGAGTTGTTCATTTGTAGATGAAAAAGAAATCGAAGCACTCTGGGTTCACAGTCCATTAGAGGCACAGACACACACACATGGACATTTAGATAAATTCTATGAATTATTTTTATTTTATTTTGCACTTTGAAAATTTTCAAATATTGAAATTTTTTAATAAAATAATTGAGTTGTGTGTTCAATTGCTTTAGTTTCTTGCATTTCTTTGGGTTTTGCTCGTACAATATGATATCACTTTTTCTTTCATTGCGGGTCCATATCCTTTGCCAGGATTTTCAATTAACCACCAGTTTCTTTTTTTGTTCTTCTTATTGTTTCAATGCCATGTCATTGAACATTAGCGCAATCTCTTGTGTTCTTAATTAAGCTTAATTTTTTGTGCTCCAAGTTTGTTGCGATTTCAATTTTTTTGTTTTCCTTGCAATTCCGTTCCTTTCGTCCTTGTTGGCTTGCTTTCGCTTCCTTGTATTTAGTTCGTTGTTTTTCGATTGGTTCAATTAAAGATTTAGTTTATTTCTTCTATCGTTGTTTTTGTTTTGTCATCTTCATTCAATTTAGATTTGTCCAAGGGTTAGTCTTGGCTCTAATGCCATTGAATTGGTTTTATCGACTTCTGGTTCATGGATCTTATCTTGGTCGTTGAGTCGTCGTTTTTTTTTTTCTTGTAATTTATTTGGAATTTTTTGTTATAAGATGTTGTTGTTATGTGGGTGGGTCGTTGCGTTCTTTGGTCGTAAATAACTCTAGCTTTTTAGTCGTTGAGAGTAAAATTTAATAGGATTTCTTCAACCATTGATTGCTGCTTCGGCTAAGCTGCAAGAGAAAAGTAACAAAAATAAATGTATTTTTATATGGAAAGGATAATAAAATATTATTACAAATATAAATAGAAAAATGTTAAAATGTTTCTATGCGGCATAAGACTACTAATACAAGACAATTATAAAATTTCTAGGGGTTATTAAGGGCTTGGTTTTTATAACAGGAATTTGATGTACCAAAGAGAAATTATTAAATAATTCTTAAAAGGGTCTAAGGAAGTTTTAGCGTGGATTATTTTAAATATTATTGAAAGGATCCACAGAGATGTCAAAATAGCAATTTAAATGCCTATAACTATACCAGCATTTATTTTATTCAAAGACATGAGTACTTGGATTTAAAATTATTTCATGAATGCGCCATGTGTTCAATAAAAGTTTTTCAAAAAATGTTCAAGGACGGTACGAGGAATCATAAAAAATATATTTTCAAGGACCTTTCGAGGAATGTGGATTTTTAAAATATTCTATAAAGGGTCGTCAGGGGAAAGTTTAATTAAAAAAAGAATTTTAAGGATCATAAGGGTTGTTCGCATTTTTAAATAGAGTTTAAGGAACCTATATCGGTATTTGAATTTATAAAAATATTTTTTAAGAACATTTATTGGTTCGTAAATTTTTAAAAATATTTTTCCAAAAACCTTTATCGGTAGTAAACTTTTTAAATATTTTTTCCAAGACCTTTTTTGGTATGGGATTTTTAAAAAGAGTTTAAGGAACCTTTATCGGCATTTGAATTTATAAAAATATTTTTAAAGACATTTTTCGGTTCGTCAATTTTTAAAAATATTTTCCCAAGGACCTTTATTGGTAGTAAATTTTTAAAATATTTTTTCAAGGACCTTTTTTGGTACGAGATTTATAAAAAGAACTTTTTTTCTAAGACTTTAAAAAAATAATTAAAAATAAATATTTTAAGGTTCTTAAGGGTTAGGCGCATTTTTAATAAAGTTTTAGGGACATTCATCTTTACACGAATTTATGAAAATACTTTTTTAAGAAAATCTATCGGTTCGTCGATTTTTTAAATGTTTTATATTTTATATCGGTACGTGGACTTATGACAACATTTTTTCCAAGGACTTTCTTTGGTAAGCGGATTATTTTTTTTTTTTTCAAGGACTTTCATCTGCATGGATTCAAAAAAGTGTTAAGGGCATTCAATTGTACGTGGATTTATAAAATATTTTTAAAATTTTTCAACGTTACCGGAATTTATTTTTTTTCTACAATTATCCCATTGGTATGTTTCCAAAGACATCCTGGGTGAGTAAATTAAGTTTTTAAAAGTATAGTTTTAAGGTCATTTATGGAAATTTTTGTGGATTTCAAGCTTTAGAGGAAATAATTTGGATTTTTGAGAAACATTTTTTCAAGGACCTTTTAAGGATGTTTTAATATTTTCCTAAAACCTTTATAACTATCGTGGTTTTTTTCCATTTTTTAATACCTTTAAAGGAACTAGAGTGGGAGTGTAAAAATATTTCCTCAAGGACCTTTAGAAGCTAACAGTGCTCTTTTAAGACTATACTTCAATAACAATGGAAGCTATCAACCTGTGTTTCTTAGAATATTTTTTTAAGGAACATCAGACCAACAATGCAGATTATTTAGCAATATTTTCCCAAGGACTTTGATGGCTTTTAGAAAGGGTTTTCTTAAACTCTCTTTTCAAGGACTATTAAGCCTTACAAAGTGGACTTCTTAAGAATATTGCTTCAAGAGCTGTGGATTGTATTTAGAATATGTTCTTAAATTAACATCAGAATAATGGACGTGGAATTTTAAGATAGTTTTTCAAGGTCCTTGAAAGCATTTTTTCCAGGTTTTTGAAGACAATTTTTCAAGGACCATAAGGCAGACTTTTAAGAATAATTTTTCAAGAGCCATTATTTAATTGACGTGGATTTTTATACCCTACAACACTATGTGTTGGGGTATTATAAGTGTGATTGGGCCAAAAATTATGTAACACCTCGAAATATTGGTTTCCACATAGGAAGGTATATCTTCCAATCTCGCCGAGCGATCTAGCTATGTATGTCCGTCCGTCCGTCTGTACGTGATAATTTGTAATCACTCTACAGGTCGCAATTATGGCCCGATTCTCACGAAATTGAAAATGAAGATGGGGTTAGGGTAAGAATAGAACTCCATTGCTTTTGGAGATAATCGCATAATATTTAGGGGTTGATGTGGACCAAAAATTTAAAAATTTCATGATTTTGCAGTTGCTCCACAGGTCGAAATTATAGATCAAACGACTCGAAAGTTATCAGGGGGCTAGATCTTAGGGCTGGGCAGATGCCTTCCAATTTGGATGGTAATCGGATAATACTTAGTGCGTGAAATAGACCATAAGTTTTGTGTTAAATAAAAGTCAATTTTTTCCTTAAACCGCGAATATTTTTAATCCCGGCGAAATATTTTTTTCAATTTGACTTACAATATTGAAGTGTATATTTCGTAATATTTTTGCACTTTACAACACAGGTTGGGGATATTATATGCAGATTGCAATTATCGTCCGATCCTCACGCAAAAGGGTAGGGTTAGGCGCAGAAGGGCTAGGCCTATTGCTTTCAAAGATGTCCGCAATATATTTAGGGTTTGAAATGGACAAACAACTAAAAATGTTCCTGATTTTGAAGCCGTTATAACGGTCACAAAAAAACCAAAGGACATGAAATCTCGCATGAAGTTACAGTTTAGGACAGCGGGTAGAATGGACCACTACTTTTGTGTGAAAAAATACCAACATTACTTACAGATGATATCCGAAATACACAAAAGGCGAACTTCTGGCTTTTTTATGCTGATTTCGTTGACGAATATAGCCAAATATCGTAGACAAGCAAATGAGTCTAAATTTAGAGATACAGAGGGGCCTCTTGCTTTTGAAGATGATCGCTAAATACTTAGGGGTTCAAATGAACCAAAAACAGAAAAAAAATCCTCATCACACAATTGAAACCAATCGACACGGAATTTTGCATGTGAATGTAGTTAGAGACAGGGAAGAAGTCTAGCATTTTGGATGACCATTGGATTATATTTAGCTGTAAAAACGGACTCCAACAACACGACGGAGTGCGTAAATTTTGGGCACATGTCCCTTGCTAAAGGTAGTATCTGGGCAGTCCTCTATGACATAATTTCAAAAGCGAAATCTTCTAAAATGTTTTGGACATAAGAGATCTTATAAGATATTGTAGTGTTGTAGGGTATCACATGGTCGGCCCCGCACGACTATAGCCTTTGCTTACTTGTTTAAGAATATTTTTTTTATTATTCAATCTAGAAGTTTGGCGGAATATTTTACAAGAACTTTCACTCCGAAGTTTGTGGAAATAGTTTCTAAAATCTATCACATCTAAAATTTCAAGGACCATCAGAGCTATTAATCTGGATGTTTAAAGGAAATTTTTTCGTTGACCACCAGAGCTATTAAACTGGAAATTTGGAGAATATTTTTGATAAAGCAGCATAGATATTTTTAAGAAAGCACAGAAAAAGAAACGAAAACCGAAAACGCTAATACACTTTGGTATTTTTAGTGCCAACCTTGCTTTCCAAAATACTCCAGACACATTAGTCCAACGGATTGGTATCCGGAGATTTTGGTGGCAATTGTGCGATGAAAATGAATCGAGGAACCTCTTTTTGTGACCATGGCCAGCGCTTGAGTTCTGGTGGCCAACCGAAGGTGCATTTTTAGCTGACCTCTTTGGCAAGTAAATACGATCATTTTGTTTGTTTACAAACTGCTGGTCAACGAATGTTTTCTCATCGGAGAAAACAAAATTCGACAGCTCACCTCTTTCTCTAGCTCTTTTAAGTTTATTTTCTTCCTGTTGCGGTTTAAGTTCTTGCACTTTTTGGAATTTCAATGGCTTTACCCCGGGCCTCATTTTTCAATATTTGCCGAATCGAATATTGCGATATGTTCAGGTCACGAAGCCACTGCGACCCGGATTTCGATCAAGTCGCTTTTTTACTTTTCGAACCATTTCTGTTGATGTTGCCGTTTTCTTCCGCCCACTTCCTTAACGTCGGGCTACGCTACCAGTATCACGGTAACGAACGATGGTATGAGACACAAACGATTTATTCACATTTAAATGCTGGAGTGTTCTAACGATTGCCACTTGTGGTTTTCCAGCCAAATATAAAGAAATCACGCTTGAATTTCATAACAAAAAACTTTTTTCTAGAAAATTCTTCTTCTTCGCTCTTTGTACGCTTGTAAACAATAACATGAGCTGTCACTGGAATAATTTTTACAGCTGTCGGACGAGTGTCTTAAAAATGACCCCAGTCTGAAGTTAGTTGCAGTTTTTTCATCTCACCCTGTATATTATTATACAATTGACAAAAAAAGAATAATGTCAAACAATTTAACAGAAAAATGTTCTCACTTTCTCATCCAACTTTTTGTGCAAATTTTCTTGATTTTTTTCTTTTTTCTGTCAAAAGGCCATTCTGAGTTGGTGAAAAGTGTCAAAATTCTCCCATCCGTTCTTGAGTTCAAAGCGGTCTATCCAATATCCCCTTTGTGGACATATGAGATTGTCGTTGATATATAAGCGGTATCTTGAATATCAGTATTTTACGGCCAGAAATTACCTCTTCCTGTATTTTTGATTTCACTGCCATTTAAAATATTCGCGATTGAATAATTTTTTTTTTGTACCCGTTTATAACTGGGACCAACATTTCGAGGTGTTACATAATTTTTGTCCCAATCAAGTCTATAATACCCCCAACACATTGTGTTGTAGAGCATAACAATTTAAAATCCATCTTGCATAATTCAACTTATTCTTATTATGAAATTCAATATATTTTCTACACCCTACTGAATGGTAATGTTAGCCGCCGAATAATTACATATTCCTGCATCCATTATCACCTTCAAATAATATGCTTTCATAATTTTTGTGCTGGCGATAATGAAGCAATGATTTGAAGATGAAATCTTATAATTACGAT